GTTTGGTCACTTTCAACAGTTTCTGTTACATAGAGCCAAACACATTTCTAACTTATATAGCTAAATTCTCCCATTTATTTGTTTTCTCTCCAGAAATTTAGTTAATTCTAGTCATGTGCAATGTGCAGACTATGCTCGTAACATTAATAGCTAGCATTTATGGGACACTTACTGTGTACAAGGCTTATATCATAAACTTTCCATGCCTTCTCATTCAATATCGACCACAACCCTCCAAAGTAGTTATTATTTTTCTAATTTTATGGACAAAAACAAACCCAGAGCAACAAAGTAAGCCTCTCAACAGCATCCACGTGATAAGCTCCAAAGCCTCTCTGACATGTAACTGCATGAAATTGTATCCCATTTTCCTTTAGGGAATAGGAACCCAATAGATTTTTCTCTTTGAGAGGCCAAGCGATATGATCAAATAACAGTCTTTACAAACCCACTGTGAGGTGGGTATGACTATTTTTATTTTCAAGGGAGATTCTGTGAGATCAAGTGACTTCAATGCAATTCATCCAGTTTGATGGGCATTTATTGGGTACTGAGTCCAGGGTGCTTTGTTAGATGCTGAGGCCACACAGCTGGATGAGGAAAGGCCTGGCTGTACTGAACCCTGCAAGAAAGAAAAAGGTCTTTTTCTGGAATTAAAACAGTTGCAGGAGTTGTGCTTTCTCTAACTGGCATCAATTACTGACTGTCAGCAGAATATTCCAGATGGGCTGGTTTCTATAAAATCCCCAGGGAGAGTTCCAAAGTTTAGGTTCTGAGAGAAGAGAAGGGAAGAACTTGGCAAAAGAGTCTGCTTGAAAAGCTATTTTTCAGTCTTCCCAAATCAGGTACAAAGAATGAACTGCCACAGAACACATTCTATTATTAATTATTCCATTTTGCCAAGCAGAGAGAGGGGAGAGTGAGGGATTAACAACCTTTGCCACAGTGTCGGAGGTGGTTTGTTTACTAGATCAAAGCCTCTGGGTAACAGAGACTTCAGAGGTGGAGAGGGTGGTACCAGGGAGCTGGGCCTATGGTGCCTACTTAGCCAAATGTATTATTTTGTATATTCTGGAGCTTGAACTGCACCGCTTGGACATGCCAATTCTCTTCACTTAGTCATAGGAGGGCAACAGGCCTGCTAAAAATGCTCAGAGAGCCTAAGAATGTTTACAGAGTAAAGTTACCGGGTCTGGATAGTGTTCCTCTTGGGTACTGTAGCCATCTCCCATTTCTTGAGAGAACAGTGACAAGTTCTTGGTTCCCTAGTGTGTAGCTAATTTTGAAAGGTAGCATTTCTTGTTAATAGATTTTCTGAAGGGCTGTGTACCTAATGATGTATGTATTTATTTATTTAATTTTTGTAATTTGTAATTTGCTCGAGGACACATATGCTCACCAGAGAGAGAAGGCAATGGAAAACGGCCACTTTGCAATTCCTTCTCTTCCATTTCTCCCTGCTCTCTAGATTTCGGGCATGCACGCATGTGCACCTGGCATGTTTATCCAGCTGCTAGACCAGGACTTGAGCTACATAGCCCGTATCACCGTGCCCCTGGCTGCCCCTACCTAATAATTTCTAAGGAAGTAAGGAATCTGCACTATAATAATTTTACTGGGAAACCAAAAGAAGTACTTCAAATCATTAGTTATAAATGTTGAGCAAAGAGGAAGGAAGGAAGCACCACGAACTGATATCATCACCTTCGATGAAGGAAGCTAGGTGAGGAAAAGGTCAGAAAGACTTTTGCTTTAAATGTATGATCACATTTTTCTTTTTAATGAGTCTAAACTAATGCATTTTACAATTGAATGTTTTTTCTAAAAAGGAAAAAAATCCTTCACATACTACATATTAAAAGTGGTCCTTAAATTCATTTATCTCAAACCATGGATGCTCATTAATCTTTTAAAAGAATAACTTAGCATAATGCCATGTGTTGAAAATAAATTGTTTTAAATAATAAGCTGGTATGGGATTACACTTTCCCTGCAATGCTGAGGTTGTTTGCACTGGGAATGGACAGTTAATACTTTGCAAACAGTGATTGAATGGTCTGTGATTGCTAAGTGCCCGGAGGATGAGCAGTCCCCTTGCGTGCTTGGTACTATTACTGATATAGCTCTCATCTTTTGCATGCTCTGCAATATTAACTAGTTTACCCTCGAGTGACATGAGTAAGTTCTTGCTGCAGTATACAGAGAGGTGAAGGAGATTTTCTTCGCTGTAATTTTTGTGAGTTGATTTAGCAGTGAGGAACTGGAAGACAAGAATTGTGTTTAATTATTGATACCTGCACAATGTCCTTCCTGTTTTATGCCCATGGTCTCTGTTTCCAGGTCATGCTTGGAGCATGGACGTTTTTGGTGAGGCTGGGAGTCCTGGCCCAATCATGGCCCTTCACTGGTAAATTCCCTCTAGACTGGAAGAACTAAATACCTGAGAGGAAGCTATAGCTTCTAACTTACCCGACAACAGTCTTAAAATGAGGCATAGCCCTTGAGGTGACCCCGACAGCTAGGCTATGGCATTATTACAGAGATACTGGCTCCCGGGTCGCATGAGGCTCCCAAGCCAGGGAGGATCCCATCTGTACTTGATGCGGTCTCATTTTCCTGTGCCTGAACCCTCAGAAACCGAAGAGAAGAAGCCGTTATGGCTGTAGGGATTGCGCATAGCCTACTCCCATGGGAAGAGGATGTTGATGCTTCCCTGCTGACACATGGGCTTTCTTGGTTTATATCGTGATACCAAGTGTAGTTGACTTGTTCACCATCTATTTCTTGGCAAAGTCTACCTTTATTTCAGTACTCTCCACCCCGCTTTGGGTCACTGTCATTTGATTCATGCCTCCCAAAGGCTCCATATCTGTTCTCTCAAAGGTCATCTGTGTCCTCCTCATGGCCAAATCCAGGCCTTATCTCAGTCTTTCTCTAGCTTAACCTTCCTTCTGTACTTGACAGTGCCGATGGCACCCTTCTTGAAATGCGTTTCTCATTGAGTTTCCCTATTTGATCTGACTCCATGGATTCTCATCAAGCCTTTCCAAGAGCAATACTTTTCTACTTTTCTTTCTTTCTTTCTTTCTTTCTTTCTTTCTTTCTTTCTTTCTTTCTTTCTTTCTTTCTTTCTTTCTTTCTTCCTTCCTTCCTTCCTTCCTTCCTTCCTTCCTTCCTTCCTTCCTTCCTTCCTTTTTTTTTTTTTTTGAGGGTTTTTGCTAAAGGGGGCCGGGCGCTGCGCACACAGACAGAGAGAGACAGAGAGATAGAAAGCGAGAAATCACCCCCCAGGGGGGAGGGCCACGCTGCAATCCCTTCT